GACTTTTCATGGATCTCGACCTGCCATGTAGGCCCTCTTTAGGCTAGACGCGCCTAGACGGTTGGAAGCGACAATCGAAGAAAAACGGTTAAGCAAGCCAAGGACTTCGCTAACTTCCATTCCTCAGTACTATATTAAAATCCTTCCATTCATGGGCACTGTCTAAAACCTTCTTCCGGCTTATCTCTGAAAAGATTGTAACCTTTTCGTCTGCAGTTGGCTCAACAAGAATTACACAGGAGCCAGTGAGCTTCCATGACGGCCTAGGCTCGGACATGACACGTTGTTGTTTGTTGTTATTTCGCGACGTCATCAACGAGTAGGCCTACAATACTGTATTCATTATCCACCATCAACTAAACTGCCTTAAAGGGAAAAAAAAATCGGTTCGTGCGGGAATCGAACACACAACCTCCATGTTTGCTAGTCATTATCCACCATCAACTAAACTGGCTCGTGTGGGAATCGAACCACGACCTTCAAAAACAAAAATTTAAAAAATTTTAAAAATAAAAAAAGAAAACTTGCCCCGTGTGGGAATCGAATCCACGATCGCCGAGTTTACTATTTCTGATCCAGCATGACTAAACCATACTAAACGGAGGGAGGTAAACCGCGGCCCCTAAGCCATAAATGCGATAAATTTAGTACCACACCAAGTACCAGTTAGTCAACTCTGATCCTACTAGAAAAAATTCTTCGTATATATACACTGCCGGTAAATATTACGCATGGTCATGGTGTCAAAAATGGGCCGTGGGCCAAGAGGGTTTATTTTTTTGTCTAAAAATGTAGAATTAAATTTATAATCCATAACTTACGCACTTTTTTTTTTTAAATAGACAAAAATATTTGAAAAATTCATTATGCAAATTAGAAAAAATAGACTAATCATGTTACAGGAAACTTGGTGGTTGTGTGTTCAATTCCAACACGAACCATTTTTTCCCCCTTTTTTTTAAAGGCAGTTTAGTTTAATGAATAACAAACATGGAGGTTGTGTGTTCGGTTCCCACATGAACCAATTTTTTTTTTAAAGGCAGTTTGATGGTGGATAATAGATAGCAAGCCTGGAGGTTGTGTGTTCGATTCCCACACGAACCAATTTTTGTTTAAGGCAGTTTAGTTGATGGTGGATTCCAGACCTCTGACAATGGCGGAAGCCTATACCAAAGCTTCGCATTTTTGCGGGCATAATACCTAGACAGGATTGTTCATTCATATTGAAATTAGTGTTTTGATGTTGATTTTTTTTTTCATCCAATGGGAATTCATATTCTGGAATAACTTAATTAATTTGTTTATGTTAAAGATCAAGTTTAATTTTTATACTTATGTTCTAATTGTATGTATTGAGGGTCCCAATTGATCAGCTCAGGGTGGATGGACCACCCTCACAAAATATTGTTTAAATAAATAAATATATTTTATATAAGAAGGATCTATGAATATTCAGCTTTCCGTTTTCTGGGGAATGAACAACAAGATATTTGATTGGTAAACAGTCGAAATGGCAATTTAATGCCAACGAAGTCGCTGGAGGTAATTTTTTTTTTTCATGAAGGCCAGGGCCTTTAGACCTCTGACAATGGTAGCGGAAGGCTATACCAAAGCTTCGCATTTTTTCGGGCATAATGCCTAGACAGGATTGTTCATTCATATTGACATTAGTGTTTTGATGGTGATTTTTTTCATCCAATTGCAATTTATATATTTTATATGAGAAAAATCTATGAATATTCAACTTTCCGTTTACTGGGGGGAATGAACAACAAGATATTTGATTGGTGAACAGCCGAAATGGCAATTTAAACGAAGTCACTAAAAAGAAGTCAAAATGCAGCCTCTACGCGTGGTGGGCGGTCAGCATAGCACCAATAGAAAAGTGAAAAATGACGGTGACCTTTATCAAGCAATACAATTGAAACAAATACTAAAGCAATCAGAAAAATATTGCCTTCCAAATGCAGAAGGGAATACAAAATTCCGACAAGTATTTGCCAGATACGACTGTGGAAAGACAAAAAATGACCTAAAAACAGCTAATGTCAGCGCCGTGAAACACTTTTGCTAGGCTATTCTCGCTCTTGAACGATAATGTTGCAAGAAGAACCATTTCGTATTTTTTGGAGATTTTTTGATTTGTCAATATGTATGGTTGATAATTTTACTTTATTTTGTCAGGTCGAGGTGATTTCACTTTATTTCACAATAGACTGATATTATTTCCACTCACAATAGTGTAGTCGCAATATTACTAATACAAAAGTGAAAGTTAAAAAGGGGAGAAAAGCAAAAATCTCTTGATTGATTTTAAAAGTCGTGTACTTGCAAAAAGACTAAATTAATCATTGTTTTAAGTTGGAATATCGTGTTGTTATTAATAATAATAATAATAATAATAATAATCATAGGCCTTATAATAATATAATATGTTTATTAATAATAATAATAATAACAATAATAATAACAATAATAATAATAACCATAATAATAATAATAATAATAATAATAATAATAATAATTATAATAATAATAATAATAATAATAATAATTATAATAATAATAATAATAATAATAATAATAATAATAATAATAATAATAATAATAATAATAATAATAATAATAATAATAATAATAATAATAAAGATTTGTAAAGCGCAAACATCTCCACCTAAATATGTGCTGGGTAGTGTGAAACAAGCAGTAGAAAAAAAAACAAGATACATATCACAAGAAGAAAATGTAACAAGACTCATCATTTTATTACTTTACCTTCTCATTTTTTAACCACAGTTATATAAATGTCTTTCGATATTTCCTTTTGTTTTCTTTGAATCTCTTTCTTATACTTTCCTTTTTTGTCATACGTTTCCTTATCTTTTTCCTATTCTTTCTTATGTTTCCTTTTCTTCTTTTTTTCCTTTCTTATGTTTCCTTTTTTTTCTATGTTTCATTTTCTGTTTTAGTCTCTCCTTTTCTTTCTTATGCTTCCTTTCCATTCCATTTCTTTCTTATGTCTTTTTTCTTATTCTTTTCCTTTTCTGTCTTACGATTTTCAATTCTTTTCTTTTTATCTTTTTCTTTCCCCCTTTCTTTCTTATTTGTAGTGAAAATCAGGGCCCCCGTGACCATTTTCAGGGACCAACGTTTCTCTATTGATTTAGCATCACTAGATAAAAAAAAATGAACGGGCGGGCGGAGGGAACGTCCTTTAAAGTCGGATAAGCTTCTCTTAGCAGACCTTAGCATGTGATCATATATTTTTTTCGACAGTGTGAAATCTTGTTCTTTTAGATTAGAATGATTTTGTTCTTTTTTTTTTTGTATTTTTTTTGTTATTAGAAGAAATGTAAACCCCAAATATAGTGCAAATATTTATAAGATTGTGCCCCCTCACTCACAGTTATGAATTTTCCTATCTGTTTTCCATTTTTTCTCTCGGTTTATAAAATACCCATTCGGTGACCATCATTAGATTTTTGCTAATTAAAGCTTGATTTCCGCTCCTTTGCATATTTCCCTGCGATATACAACATTTTTAACACATTAAATTTATTATTTGTCGTATTAAACAACATGGTAAGCCCAAAAAATAAAAATAAAGCAACATATTTTTCTTCTGATATTTCCATTTTTCGTGGCGGTGAGTGTGCTAATTGGCCAAATATAAATTTGTTTTATTCGAATCATCATTTTAGACAAGTTACAAAAAAGTCTGCCATATCTACGACCATACTACATCTGAATATCAAGAATATAGAAGATTTAAATGATTTTTTGTTCTAGAGTGGATTTTTGATCCACTCTAGAATAAAATCCTCTCTAGAACAAAAAATCATTTTGCTAGTTCTCTTTTAAACAACGTGATTTTCAAAAATATGATATACGACAACATCTCAAATAATATGTATCCCATAATAAAATGACGTCGCTGTTATTGTCTATAGCTTGTCTATAGTCTACTGTTCTTGGCAAGAGCATCGTTGTATTTTATGTTATTAAGTCTAATGTATTGTAGATAAGGTAATGCTTTGCCTGTTACTTGTGCATATCGTCTGCTCTGATTACATCTCCAGTATGTTTTTTTTTGACATCTTAACCAATTCACCAAGAGGACGGACATCTCGGGACATCAAAGGTTATAACTCTGGCATCGCCATTCTACGCGCTGCGCGTCCCTACACGCTGATCGTCACAAAAACCATAGCAACTAACCATAATAATAATATTGACGGCTGTACTCGCAACTAGTATCGGATCGTCGATGCCACAGTAAAGATCAAAGAACTGTACGCACGTACGAGCTATGTTCGCGAGCGGAGATGTGCGTCCTTTTCAGGGGCGGATTCAGAGAATTTCTGACGGGGGTGGGGGAACATATAAAGTTCTCGCCGCCACGCCCACCTCAGCCCCACTATGGTTGGTGTAAATAAGTGGCAAATAATCGAGCTCTCCTTTCACCCAAATGCTGGATCGCCACTGAACTCCTTGATACACTCCTTTTTCCTCTGTTTAACTAAAATTTTTCTCACTCATCCCCACCCCGCTGGATCCACCCCTGCTTTTGTTGAATTGTCTTGACAAACCTTTAAATTCTTCCGCATGCTGCGTCAGTTTTTATGTTATATCTGTCTATAAAATCACTTATTCCATTCGCTTTGCGTAGCACCCTTCCAGCTGTCGGTGCTTTCTTTTTCACCATACGGTTGTTTTCTAATAATGATGGAGTCTTTGGGTCCTGTGTGAAAACCAGGGAATAATAAGATGAATGAGAACATGTGGTAGACGTTTCCGATGGCCACTGATCGTGTTTGATAGATATCCTAGCCTGTAAACTGATTTTACTGATTAATAGTCTTAAATCAGCAAAATTGTAAAACTGAAATAAAAAAAATTACCTTTTTTTAGATTACGATTCGATATCTGTAAGCTAACGAACAGCAAGATACCTCAACTACTTTTAGCCAAATTTTGAGCTTAGAAGAAGCGCCAGCAACATGTATGGTCTAATTTTGGAAAGCATTCTTGAGATGATCAAAGACCATTATGGCGAGGAGAAGTGGTTAGAAATCCGCAGTAAAGCGGACATCGATGAGTATAATTTTGTGACGCATGACATCTACAGTGAACGGGTGGTTCGTCAACTTTCTGAGGCAGCAAGCAAGGTCCTTGGGTTGACTGTCGCTGAACTTATGAACGCTAGTGGGATTTACTTCGTCTCTTTCATGGCTAAGTACGACTATGATCGTCTGCTGCGGTGCCTTGGCCGAACCATGAGTGATTTCCTCAACGGCCTTGACAACCTTCATGAATACATTCGCTTCAGCTACCCGAAAGGCCGAACCCCTAGCTTTTTCTGTACAGACGAAACCGAAAAGGGGCTAACACTTCACTATCGATCAAAGAGACGGGGGTTTATTCATTATGTGATAGGGCAGATTGTTCAAATCGGTCAAAATTTCTACGACGTGGAAATTGACGTTCAAGTTGTAAGCAGCGAATACAAAAGCGGGATGCAATCTGTCGTCTACCGATTGAACTTCGAAAATAACAATTACAGTAAGAATTTGGGAATTGTTTCCCGCTTCATGGAAAAGGCATCCTCCCTGCAGCCGTCACATATTTTCAAAATATTTCCATTCCATATTGTGTTCGATGATTCTATGACTATACAAAATGTTGGTAAGTCGATTTTTATTCATTGATTAATAGAGTAGAACCCCTCCCCTCCATATAAGGGAACGGTTTTCCGTGAAAAGGGAACATAGGCCTATACATCTTTTAACACTATGGTAACGGCCACCCCTATTAAGGGAATACCCCTAGGGGACACCTTATGAGTGTGCCCAACGGTCAAATTAATACACATTTTTACCTATTTTCATTTTATTTTATCACAACAATCAGGTCTACAAATTAAGAAATATTTATTCGAAATATTTTGACACCTTTTGAGCAATAACTAATAAAATTGCGAATTGCGAACATTGTAAATGCGGGATTAGTGGCGTAACGAAGAGGCCGAAGGTCCCGAGTCAGGTGTTGGGGCCAGGGAGCCGCACATGGCCCCGGCGGTGGCCCCGATTTTTTAAAAACTTTTTGTGATGTATTTTAATGTCTTTCTTGGCATAATTGAGTTCTTAATTTTGTATCGTGATTTGACAAAATAAGCGTAATATATTGTAATTAAGAAAATAGGCCTACTTTGTTCGTCTGTTTATGTTCTGTACTGACATACGGAAGCATGCTGTTTAAGATTTTTTTTCTCCTTGGACAGAGTTTGAGGCAAACGTCAATGAAATTTTATAATTTCAATGATCTACCTCTTTTTTTCATATTTTCCCCAAGTTATTAAATATTTAAAAATCTGTATCTCATTAACCAAGTTTTTCGTCAAAATTTAAGAAGAAAATTAAGACGTCTGCATTTCTATTGGCAATCATGTATTTTTTTATCTTAATTTTGTCTATTTTAATTGTATGTTTCAAAGCTATTCTATATAAATTCATTTCCAAAATAAAGAAATGAATGTAAAAATTTACTGTACGTATTTGTTTGTCTTGTGTGGGGCATCCTACCTTTATTTCATATAATCAATCATTCCACAAATCAAACATGAAAATCTTAACCAACTACAGTACGATATTGCAACTTGCAATATTTATTTGCCGTAATGATTTCAATTTCAAGCGTTTTAAAAAAAATGTTTATTGTATTTTGAAAGCCTATTCTATCGCAATCGATGTTATGCACTCTTATGCAGTTTTTATGTTTTAATTTTTATGCAGTCCGCTCAATAGTGCGAATCATTAAGTTTTTCTCATAGCCATCATGCGCGTAAAGAACTTCGTAGTTATTGTTGAACTGCACATGCGTGTATGAAAAAAAAAATCGCATTTTGGTGGAATTCGCATATAGGAAAGAAACAACGGTTGTACGAGCCCGAGGGCACATTAGCGCCCCGGCACGTAAACAGGAAGAAAAGAATACATATTTATTTCGTGTCCCATTAATAGGGCTTTAGGCCTACTGCAATAGGATAATTTAAGTTGACCTTTATAGGCCTATTGCTTATTGACATTTGACATATTAATGAGCAATTGAAACTGAGAGATAGCGTCTGTTCTTATTAGGAATCTTATTTTTTTTAAATTACTCATCTTTGAAATCTGAATGTATAGGCCTAATCCATATTATCCAAACAACAAAACGAACAACTGCTTAATACACTTGGCTTTCATCGAATCTTTATTTTAATAAACGTTCGAAAATTAGAATAGTAGACCTATGATATATTAATTCATATTCTCCAACCGTTTTTGATAGAATTAAAAACAGGAAGTATATTTTTGAATCAAATTTTTATGATTAAAAATATCAATTTACAATAATCTGGTGATAATGTTTCTGTTTATCAGGCAACGTCCTCGAGACAGCGATGCCGTACCTTGTGGGGAAACCTATTGACCAAGAATTTGAGCTGGTTAGACCACTAGTAGATTTTTGCTGGGAATCGGTAAGCCTGCGTTATATTTCTAATTGTGTTGATTTTTGAATAACAATAGCAATACCGTACCAAAGACAATGACAACTATACTTACTATGTCTGTTAAAACATAGTAAATCTACATAGTAACATTTAAAAACAAATTAACATGAAAACAAACTCGACGAAAATTATTCATGCATTTCACGGTAATTTTTTTTTCTTAACCTAGCTGTAGCTGGTTCGAAACTCTTTAGAAAACATAAATTGCGTTAACATAAAAGTTTAAATAGGCCTACTCGTCTATTAATATTCAAAAACGGTATGTAAAATGACGTCATATTGTAATATGCACATCTTTGATATGGTCTTTGCTTGGATAAAGTTTGAAGAAGATCCACGCACGCAACATTAAGAAAAATTAAAAAGTATAGAATATAAAATACCTGGAAAACAAAATCATACTAAAAATTATGAAGTAACAAAACATAAACATGAAAACCTAGGACGCCAGTGAGACTCGAACTTTATATGCAGTGGTAATAGCGATGGTAATGTTGAGAATTACGCTAAAAAAAACCCGATCCTACATTTTAGCTTATACCCCTAGGGCGAAAATTAAAGAAGAAAAAAGATCGGAACAAAACCAATGTTTTTTTTCACCTAATGCAAGAAAAGCAAAAAACAAAACAAGCAAAAAAAAAACAAAAAAAAATTAATAAATAAAATTAACAGCATCAGTACCAGCAGCAGCAGCAACAACAACAATAATAATAATAAGCGTATTTCTTGATTTTACTTCTTACAACTGAAACTATTTATGAGATTATAATCGTAAGAGTACGAAACTTGGAAGTTGCTTTTAAATAGATTTCTCAATTTATTCAAAAGATCTTAATATAAACTTAATTCTTAATTGGTTCTATTCGAGGTTAAAACATGATTAGTTTTATTTCGGAGAAGAGCATTTTGGATTATATTTCGCATACTTATAAATATGGGAGAATTATATTAAATGTATACCTATATTTATATACCTATATTTATATATTCACCAGACTGTGCCACTGTAAATATATAAATTCTTCCAGGTAATTTCGCATATTAATAATGTGTTTGAACTAGCCGCGACGACTCTGACACGAAGACAAACCAAAGTAAATCGTCCGTCAAAAAGTTCTTCACAATCATGTAAGATTTATTTTAATTATATTTATTTGAATCTGAAGATAAATTTTTCAACTTAGCCCAGAAGTTCATTTGATATTCAGGGCCTTTTAATATAAAATAAAATAATGTAATGTTTATAAATTAAAGTTCTAATAGACCTTACTGCTAATCCCCCTGTTTATAATTGTGGCTAAAAGCGTGGTACCTTAAGCATGTCGTGGGACAAGTCAAATTTGGTTGACACTCTGAAATGTTCCATTAAAGAAAGTTTACAATCATGGTGTCAAGCAAAATATTTTAATCTATGGGCATAGGATTTACAAACCAGAACCCGTTCAATAAGCTAAACTGGTGGCGCCACTTTGTGTACGCTGAACCGTAGAAATTTCTTGGCCCCTGGTTCAATTCCCATGCAACTCTCCTGGAATTTCAGCTGGAGGGCTGAATGCAAGTTACGGTACATATAGCATGATACTTGGAAGAAGTTTAATTAGTTAAAACATTAACAATTAGGCCCTATGTTTATTTTCAGCAAAGCGAAATACAAGTAGAACCAGTATTCAGTGTGATGAGAGTTATTTAGGTAGGTTAATCTACAAACCAATCATTTACCAATAAATCAGTTAAACAATCAATCAATCAATCAATCAATCAATTGTAAGTCATTCAATCGACCGCCAAACTATCAATCCATCAATTAATCAACCAGTCAATCAGTCAATCAGTCAGTAAGTCAGATAGATTTTTTTAAAAATAAGAAGTACAATTTTGTTTTATCATTTAGCAAAATGATTTTGGCAAAACCATCTAGGCGAAGGAGAATAATACAAATTACATTTTATTTAGAAATTGTGTAATAATAAGATTGATAAATGCTTTAAAACAGGAAGAAATATATAGGCCTATCTTATTTTTGGTGATATCAGGAAAGCGGAGGCCGTAATAAAAATAAATATAAAATTTTATATTTTTATGAAATTTTCCTTTTTAGTGGTGGAGGGTGCGCGAAACTTCCCAAAAATAAATGTTTATTTTTATTCAAAATCACCATTTTTTTGCGGTCGGAGGGTTCAATAAACAAGGTATAAAAAAAAGTCTCGCCTTATCGACTTGATATCACTTGATGACGCAATCATAAGTTTTGCTTATTCTGTAGGTTACATTCATTGGTAAGAAAGATAGTTACGTTCAATGAAAGAATGGAATTGTTTAATAAACTTCTTTTTTTAAACTACTGTAGATGCTCTAACTGTGGATGTAAACCCGTGTCGAATACGACTCAAAGGCCAGATGAAGTACATCAGAGAATGGGATGCCATAATTTTTCTTTGTACCCCAGTGTAAGTTATTATAATATAATACTAATTTCATACCAGTCGTGTGTGAAACGCCACGTTCGCCAGCACAATTTATCATGTAATGCCACTATAACTCATTGGCATAACGTTACTAACACGGCAAATCCTTATTAAGTCAACAAGACTTCGAACACAATATACGCTTAGATTGGTCCAAAACTTACGATGTACTGACACACAATATAACCATAGAGAAAATAGGCTAATAATTTAAAATGGACCTTCCGCTATGCTCCGCCCCTTGGATATTGTTCTGCGAAGGTTCCACAAAACATACACTGCTTTTTATAGAATGGAAAACATAGACGCAATGGCTGCAGCAGGGCTGTATGTGAATGACTTTAGCATCCATGATTCAAGTCGTGATCTTATATTGGCTGGAACACAAAAATCCACTGAGTTGAAAATGGCACTCGACCAGGTATGTCATTCATTTGTTTGTTATTCTAAAGTTTAGACTGGCCCTTAACAAGACCATAAATATAAAGATATAAAGTTGTCTTAATGGAATAATACTTACCGTCATAATAAATCTAACGTATCTACTTAAGTTATCGTCCAGTTAGTGGTTGCGATTAAGCGAGTCGTCCTCTCATAGAAAGTCATACCAACGCAGAAAGCAAACTCGTATTATATCCGTTTAATGCCTATACATAATACTTTACTTTAGAAACCATAATTATGAAAGTCTACTATTTAATTAATTTTTTAAAAATGGCCTCCAGAACCAAAAAGAATTGTTTGCTATGTTTATCTTCAGGAACAACGCAAGAGTGCCGAATTGGAAGAGAGCATGAGGAAGTTAGACGTCGAAGTAAAGAAAACAGATTCGTTACTCTATCAGATGATTCCAAAACCTGTAGCAGAAAAACTTCGCAAAGGAGATTCAGCGACGAGTACATGTGAAGTAGGATTCAATTATTTCTTCGCTTCCTCAATACATTCAACTTAATCTTATTTGAAAATATGTTGACGTGAGGGAGATCTATCCAACCAACCAGAGCTGATTGTTACGTATATGTATACGGTATATCCCCATGCCAGTGGTTCCCAACCTTTTTTCATCACGGATCCTCGGACATGTTAAATTTGTCAGTATTACTCATTGTCGATTCCAACAATGAGATTATAGATAAAAGATGATTCGCCAAAAAAAAAAAAAATAAATAAAAAAATGAACAGTGTTGGATTCTGGAATTCAAAATTGAGGGGACAGACACAGAAAGTCAATTTTACAGATAGGGATTGGTACCACCTGAGGCCCACCATGGTTGGGGCTGACGTACGAAATGTTTATGTCTATGGCGATTCTAGAATGCCGGAAATGGTATACTGTCAGACTCAAAATTTGAAGGTAATATTATTTTTAATGTTGATTCCCCCAATGTCAAAGGTATTTCATTATTAATAAAGGCGTCTAATGGTTAGCAATAGGATATTTATCACCCTTTTGTAAGAAGAGAAAATAATGGAATCATGAAAAATTGGTCTAAGAATCCAACCGATCACAAACTTTTTCGCGGACCCCCTGCTGGTCCTTTTGAATTGACTGTTTTTCGCGGAACCTAAGGGGTCCGTAGCCTCCGGTTGGGAACCACTGCCTTATGCCATGCCATCCTATGCTTAGGTATGCAAGGCAAACGTTGTACTAACAATAGAGGCTAATATAAGTAACCATTGTGCATAGGCAACCACAATATGCTTAAACCGTAAGAGAAACGAATGAAAAGCTGAGCATAAACAAAGCTGTGATTTCAATAGGTTTAAACCATAGAAACGAATAAAGAAAGCTGAGCATAAACACAGCGTGTGATTTCAACTGGGTTGTATTTTATTTTTTAATAACGTCTAAGAGTGAGTTACACTGATAATGGGACCCTCAATATATATAACAAAACTAACAACGGAAATTAAATAGATTTAGTAAATCATTTTGAGACTTACAGAAGAAAAAATATTATTCCATAATATTGCAGCTAGTAATCAGCGCAGTTGTGTTCGAACCTACCAGGTACCCACTTGTACTCCTGGGTGGAGACAGGCAACCGTTGTAGATAAAGTGCCTTGCCCAAGGACACGATTTGCACAGCGAGAGTTTCGAATCCTCGAGGTTGGGAGTCCAAGCCACAACCGATGCGCCAACCGCTTCTTATAAGTCAATCGCCGTCTTTTAATGTTAGTTTTGATAATCAACTGTTGAAGCAGTCATCGGTAGCTAGATAGTGATATGATCACTGTCAGCGTGATCACTCACAATTTTGATATACCCAATGACTGGGTCGAAGTTACCCAAGATTTAGCCAAAATTGCCCAAAATTACCCAAGCTTCCTAAAAATGCATTAAAATTTGAAAAAAAACCGTGTTTCGCATGTATAGTTTCCTTTTTAGTTCAATTTATAAACCATTTTTTATTGTAATTGTTTGTGTTAATTATTAAAATGAATATTCATGAGGTGATAATACGGGCAGAAAAATACGCCCTCAGTCGGCCAGTGTTATCAATAGATCAGTGATCAAGTTTTATTATGTAATGCATTAATTAGGTAAGATCAATGGCAACGCAAATCACAAATAAACAATTCTGAACCCATGATTATAGCAATTAACAGTCAATTAACAATGTTATGTGCACTTCGTGGAGTTTTGCTTACTTGAATGGATTGAAATATACTTTGTTACTTCTTAATTCTTCCTCTATGACAAAAAATTTATTTTCTTAGTAAAAATAAAATACCCAAGGAATTGAACGGAATACCCAAGAACCCAAGACCAAGTAAAAATACCCAAGATCTTGGGTAAATACCCAAGCAGTGGTCAGACTGATCACTGTGTATACTGTGTGCGTATTACGTTTAGCTGTGCGTATACGCGCTAACATACAGCAACATCACACACAGTACGAATAATACAATGAAAAAATAATTTAATTGTTTTTGAAGAACTTGTCAGAAGTTTACTATTTTGATAGACATTCGTAAAAAAAATTCTTAAAGCATTTGAAAGAATACAGTAATCCAGTTTTGGTCGGAGCAGACATGTAAAATCGTGTGGCTTCGGTGGCCTCTTGCCTACATCTAAATTCGTTCCTTGAGTCTATAAAATAGGTCTAGAATATTCATACTAAATGTTCAGTATTTTGAATATAATTAGGGTCTATTGATTAAAGACATTTTCGTACATAATATTTATTTTTTTTCGGGTTCTAATCAACCTTGTGTTTTTCTTTCAATTACCACAGACAAATGGCGATTGTCTGTCCCCTCTTTCTGCAAGCACGCGTAATGCTGTGTAACTAGCTAATTGAAATTCGTTGCAGTGCGCGATACATAGGCCTACAAGTTATTTTCACCTTTCCTCACGTACGGAAAAAAACACAGTTAATTGAATTTATGTGGGTTCCTTAGATCGTAATACTGAATTTCCATTCTCATTCTCGTAAACCTATTTTATGTTTATGCCTCAGTCAGTTTGCCTACCAACTTTATACAATATCAGTAATAATTTTAATTTAACACGGAATTCATATTTCTGAATGACTTGATTTAAAGAGTTAGGCCTACTTCTCTTCCCCCGACAGGTATTCCAATGTGTGACGATTTTGTTCAGTGACGTGGTCGGATTTACTACCATCTGTTCGAGAATAACCCCGATGGCGGTGGTGGCTATGTTGAATAGCATGTATACAAAATTTGATAATCTCTGTGAAGCATATGATGTCTATAAGGTTAGAGTCTAACTCCGGGCTTGGGGCCATGCCTCTGTAAAATGTTTGCCCCCCCCCCCCCNNNNGATTATGATGGTGTTGATGAAGAAGAAGTAGTAGTAGATTAATGATGATTAGCATAATAATGATAATAACGATAGTAGGCATATCATATGATAAAAATAATGTTAATAAGGTTGATGATGATGATGATTACGATAGTAATTATAATGTGTAGAAGAAGAAGATGATGATGAGGATGGTGATGATAAGGATGAAAATGATGATAAGGGTGGTGATGATAATAATGATGGTGGTGGTGATGATGATGATAATTACTTTAAGTGAATAATGAAGTATTTCTATAAGTATAAATTTACATTTGATTAAATAAAAATTATTTTACGAAAACATTGCCTTGTTGGATACAATTTTTTAACACCATTGGCTTTCTGTCATTTGATGTGATCTTCGGAATTATTATTTAAAGACGAAAACAAGAATAAACAAATCGAGTAACCATGATACATCAATCACTAAAAGGGTTTACTAACCCGATAAAGCTGCTCAAAATTAAATTTCCAATTCATCATGAAATTTGAACCACCTTAAAAAAATAAAATATGCTAATGTTCTACTCTAGTTGAATTAATAAATTCCCAACTTTGCGAAATCTAAATTATTATTATATATTTGTCTGGTAAAACACGGAGTAGGCCTACTATTTGATAAGCAGACAAATTTATGATTACGTCAAGCAATCTGTTGTAATTGCATCGGGAGGTTATTATTTGTATTTTAAGCTTCGTCTACACAAAATTTAATTCAAGTTAATTGGATGATACGGATTTTCATCATGTAGCATGGCGCCTTTCCCAAGAGCATTGTGTTTAACCTTGAAATTTCTCATAACAAGCTATCTTTTTTCAGGATATGTCCAGAATTATGAGTAGAATAACATATTAAGAGTCCTTGAAAATCCTACTAGAGCTTTCTGCAAAATCCAAGATGGCGTCCAAAATGGCCGCCATTTTTATATTTTATCATAACTTTGCAGCCACGTAAGTTTCTAAATATATGTTTTAAGGTACAAGGAATACAATAAAAACGTTATCTGGAGGGTCCAAATCTTGCAAGTACAGTACCTGAAAACTAAGTTGGCGTTCAAAATACCCGCCATTTTGATATTTTATCATACCAATAGGATTTTCGAGTACTTTTAGTATGTTATTCTACTAATAATTCAGGACCTATCCTGAAAAAGCTTGTTATGAGAAATTACCATGTCTGCCTATCTTTACGCCCTAATGCTCTTGGATGAATTACCCATTAAACAAGATGATATCAGTCGCATCAATTAATGAGCATGATCATGCCATATATCCCCATATGGACAAATAACAGGTATTGTTCACATATTGATAGTGTTCATAGATTTTCGTGTATAGGTCTACATGTTTGTAGTTCTCTGTATTAGGTGGAAACAATTGGAGATGCGTACATGATAGTGTCTGGGGCACCGACCCCAACTCATGACCACGTCTTAAGGGTGTCTGAAATGGCCCTGTCAATGATAGACGCTATGCATGACTTAAAAGAACCCGACACAGATGAACATATGACAATACGCGCAGGTAAGCAAATCACTATAGTTTCATTTAATAGAATTTTGTATCATTAAACATTCTTAAACATATTATTTAATAGTTTTAATTTTTAATCATTTTTTGAATTATAAGCAGCGTGACATCCTAGCCCTCTAAACTATTATGACCATTAATAAATGTAACTAATTTTGTTCAAATTAGCCTAATTCTTCCTCGAACATTAATCCAGAAATCGAGGTTCTAAACCAATTCAATTGAATATCATGTTCTGTACAGGAATGCATTCGGGAGTGGTTGTCGCTGGAGTGGTTGGCTTGAAAATGCCCCGTTACTGTTTGTTTGGTGATACTGTTAACACCGCCTCAAGGATGGAATCTACCAGCGAGGGACAGCGAATTCACATCAGTCAAGCTACTAAGGACGTCCTAAGTACCTGTCCGTATGTTATCGAAGAAAGAGGCTCAATCGAAGTTAAGGTATGAATCAGTCGTAGAGGGGGTGATTTAAAATTAATACAGCAAGCATTTTTTAAACATTTTTTAGCAGCTCTGAGTAGGCTACCACATCATAATCAGATGCGCGTACATCCATGAGATATTTCTTTTACTTCATTTCACACTCAAAATTGTTGAATGATAGTATAATCTACGCAAGTAAATCAAGCATGCTCTAGTTAAAAATTATTCTGTATCATAAAACGACAAAATTATTTGGCCTATATCATGACATTTCTTATTTAATTTTGGTGATACACTCTGATCATCACAGTCCAGCAAAATATATAAAGTGCTAAATACATTTTTACAAATTCAGCCAATTTACAGTAATGAGAATACTTAAAACATTTATAACGCTATCTTTAGCACAACATTGATACTTCAAGCATGAGTATGTTAACCCTTCTACAAGCATTGTTAAACCTAGACCTGCATGAATAATGTCGTCGATAACATTTGGAGGAAGCTGGTTGCTATGAAATGTATTAATGTTAGACAGTTAAAGTGCTTTTCTGGGAAACTGCAATATGTTATTAGAATACATTTTTGTTTTCAATCAGGATAATGCTGTCTAATTGCCACGGCAAATAATAGACCCAAAGAGCATTTAAGTCACGATAAAGAATATATTACATTTCGTTAATACAATTTAATGAATTTATTATTAATACTGAAAGCAAGTCTTAAAATTATATAAATATCAAAGCGGTGCATGCGTTACACGAAGCTTTTGATTACGTTTGACACCTTTTACATGAAAGTATCAGTATATATCTTACACGATATATTTGATTTTCTTCATGTAAAAGGAAAAAATTGTTATCATTTTGGTATTCATTTCATTTGCTTTTTGAGAACTTTAATTAAAAACCTGTATTCAAAATACTTTTTTAGAGCCAAAATATAATCAATCCTGTTTAATATAATTTCAACATTTTAATGATGAAACGGTGTAGTGTAAACTATATTTTGTATCATGTTCTGGATGAGCAAAATAATTCGAAAATGTAGAAATAAATAAAAATAAAATCTTACACTGTTTAGCCAGATTTTTGCAATCTTTAATTACCGTACTCTATTATTATTCCGGATTGTTTATTTTTATTAAGACTTATTAAAACTCATCCCACTACAGTGGCTATATGTGGCTACTTTTTGCTAGTTTTTTGTTCATGTACCGGTACCTCAATAAACACCTAAGGACAGGTCGAAACATTTATTTTCTCCAATAAATTATTTCTAAAGTCCATACATGGTATTCGTTTGTATACCGTATTCTTTAATAACAAATAATAGCATATAAATAAATCAAGATAACCGTTAACACTGTTAAATTATATATAAATCATCAATGAAGGTAAATACAGTGTTCGGATAAAGGACATAATAATACATCGTGTAGCATAGCTGTCAACGAAAATATCTAGTGAGGAGTGTTTCCCATTATTTCCCTTTAAATTGTCTCCATATCCACACCCCACTCCGAATTTTCACTAAATTTAAGGAGGCACATTAGGTCTACTTAATAAATGGTCAATGTTTGTACAAAGCTTGGGAAAGATCAAAGCATGGAAAGTGACCAAAGTGCAGGCAAGAAAAGCCCCGTGCAAGAAAATAGATAAAACCATATGAATGAAGAAAAAAAAATCACAAAAAAAAAACAAAAAACAATGGCTTTTCTACTGCTTAAGACAACGACTACGGCAATGTTAATACCGGTACTAGTACTGGCCCTGCTGTATGTGTAAAATCAAAGTTAAAAATGCATATTGTTATTACATTATTTTTAATCAGGGTAAAGGATCTATGAAGACGTATTGGTTAAAGGGCCGTAGAGATGATGCGCCGCCCTTCACCTGTTTTAAGAAACTCGGTCACCATGACAGCGACGACCCAGATCTGTGAGTCAAACTGTTGTCTGTATTTTTGTTCTGCTAAAGGTTGATAATTTTTCATTTATTATTTGTTTAATCTTTCCATTCTCGTCCAATGGCTACATTTGACTGGTGACAAGCCAGTTTTGTTTGCTTTAATAGGCGCTTTAAAAATGTGTATTATTATTATTATTATAATCGTTGAAGCTTCACAATAGACCTTTCCAGAGTTTCAATCAAACTTAACAACTGACTAATCAGAACAGCGCTAGGAATGCGCGCGCGTTTTACGAACACACGTGTTGTCCCACAAACGCACGTGTTCGCGTATGTTTTAACCATGGTTTTAACACTGCTGTCTTTGTGGGACCTAAGCAACCTAAGCAACAATATCCAAGGGGCGGAGCTTAGCGGAAAGGTCCATTCGACCAACTAATCAGCGTCGATGAAAACTGTTGGCGATAGTGTGTAGCGAATTTATTGAAACCTGGCTTTAGTCTCACATGAGGTTTGGAAAATAGAGTTGGTTTTAGTCGAAAGAAAAAATATCATGTTTTCACAGTAATTGAACCCTGAACCATATAATTAGGAGGCTAGCACCTTAACCACAAAGAGTTATACCAAATGTGTGACGTTAAATAGCCAATAATGATCAAATTATATTTGAAAATTATTATAAAAAAGAGTACTGTCACAAATGGTGTTCGAATAAGACCCCTTCAATTACCGTTCTATTGCTACAACAATTTGACTATTGGCTAGCTGCTATAAATAATGAAAGTGTTTCCCCATTCGAATTCTAATGCTTTATGGTTTATTAAACTATTAATAGTAGATACTAAATCATATGATAGCAATAATAATAATAATGATGACACACACACACACACAC